CATTTGTGTCCTAAAGTATTCGATACGACATTTGTGTCCTAAACTATTTTTCCGTTAGAGTTGACTAGCGTTGACCGTTAGTTTTTAACAGAAAGCCTAGTCAGCGCTGATGTGGCATCTGATGTGGAAATTTAATGTTAATTTTAATATTTTTTTCCATATAATAAAAATTTTAAATACAAAAATAAAAAACAAAAAAATTACAACTCTCTCGTCCCCTTCTCCTCCCGTCCGCTGCTTCTTCGTCTCCTCTCTTCCTTATTTCCGCCGCCGTCTATATCCAGTCTGAAAAATCCTCCCTGAAACCCAATCCTCAAGCTCTGAAAGTGGTCGCAGAAACCCAGATCCAAGGAAACCCAGAAACCCAGATCTAATGAAACCCAACGATGAAAAGCAATTCAAATACGGCAGAGTCAGAGATGGTTTTGGCTATATAGGTTTCCATCGACGATTTGGTATGGGTTCAAGCTTCCATCCGCTTCCTTGTCGGCAACTGGTACACGCGACATCTGGAGTTGGAAACGTCGTTGGAGAAGATATCGATTGGAGCTGGGAGCTCTGCCAGAGAAGACGACGTCGATTGGAACGAGGTAGCCGGAGATTGGGAGCTCTGCCAGAGAAAATCCCCAAATCATGCTCCGAGCCGCCGTTGTCTTCTTCTTCCCCTCGCAGTTGGCTTCCCAGTAATGGCTGTCGCTTCCCCTCTCCAAAACAGATTCGCCCAAATCCTCAAGGGACTATCGCACCCTCCCTCCCTCCCTCTCGCCATCGACCATTCTTCCCTTCTCTGACACCGCAAAATCTAGTAAGAGAGAGAGATAGAAATATGGGTAGGACTTCGATTGGAAGTAGGCCTCGCCACGTTGTTCCAATCGATGTGAGAACGGTGAAGGGTTTTCTCAATGGGGTGGGACTTTGATTGGAAGTGGAGGTCGAGGGATTTGGTTGGAGAATCGGCGGCCGGAAATTGTGTGGTGAAAGGCGGTGGTGGACATTTGTGATTTGGATTTGGATTTGGGCGATTTGCGCGGAGACGACAACGTTAGAAGAGAGAAAGGCTAATCGGTAGAGATGATAGTGAGAAGTTTTTTAATTTTTAATTTTTTAATTTCTCCATTTTATTTTTATTTAAATTTTAATTACAAATATGAGGTGTCAATGATGTGGCATCTACGTGGCTGCCACGTGTTTGCCACATCAGCAAAAGTCAACATCAAGTTGACCACCGTCTGGTCAACCGTTATATATAACGGTCAACAAAATCGTCAGGACATAAATGACACAAAACTATAATAGGTTGGGACACAAATGTCGTATCGAATACTTTAGGACACAAATGACACAAAGTTAATAGTTCGGGTTTCCCAGTGGTATTAGCCCTTAAACTAATGAAATCCTACTCCCGATTTGGCGCCACTCTCCACAACTACTCCTATTTCTAATAATAATAATAATAATAATAATAATAATAATAATAATAAAGAGAAAAGTGGGTTTCTAACATGGCGTCATTTGGCCAAAGGTAACATAGCCTAGTGGTGAAACCACTGGACCAACTGAGCTCTGAATGTGGGAGGTCCTGAGTTCGATTCCTAGTGGCCCCACTTGAGCGTTCCCGGCGGCACTCTTGGTATCGGAGGCGAAGCCTTCCCGACGTTGGCAGCAGAAGCCCTGGTTAGTATGTAGGTACCTCCCAGTGGTTTAGTAGGCCCCGCTGTCGCTCAAGCGCCACGTAGGGCTGAGGTTCCCTGGGTTATAAAAAAACATGGTGTCATTTGGGAAAAATCCAGAAACAACACAATTTTTTTTTTACAAAAATGCCACTCAAACCACAAAATTTCCAAAATTAGCACCATTAATTGAAAACCGCACGCCAAAAGTGCAGTTTATATAGAAACCGCGTTGGGAGGCAACGATTTATGCTAGGTCGGCTTGAGAACTGCTTAGGGAAGGCGCGAAACCTCCGCAGGATTCGATTCCTCATCGGCGATGACTTCTTCCTCGTCATTATTTTCGTCCTCCCACCACTCGTCCTATGGCCCAAATGATGTTAGCTGTGCCAGTAGCCGGTCCACCTCAACCTTCCACCTTCACATAGACTCGGTGAAGCCCTTGGTTGAGAGTCCCGATGAACTCATCCTCGAAACCAGGCTCTGGTACCAGTATTGTAAGAAATCCGCTTATTCGAGATTATTAGGATTGACGTAATCGAATCGATAGGAAGAGAATTAGGGATTTGGGAGAAAGAATTAAGGATTTAGATAGGTAGAACAAAATTGGGGATTAGATATTAGAAGAGATTAGGATAAGAAGAAAAGATAGTGAGTTCAGGAATTTCAATATTATTCTATGTTTAATTCTTACTTAAAAGAAAATGCTGGAAATCTAATAATAAAACTAATGGAATCCTAATCCTAATCTGCCACTCTCCACAACTACTCCTATTTCTAATAACAATAATAGAATAGTGAGAAAAGTGGGTTTCTAACATGGTGTCATTTGGGTATCATGGAGTTCTGTTTCTCGAGGATACATGGTAGTGTATGGACTCTAAAGGTGAGTTATTGATGTTCATGGGAAATTAGGAAGGTTTTGAAGTATTTCGTGGTGAAAGTTTGGTAGACGATCAAAACGAAGTATCATAAAGTGGATTGGGGGGAAGACTACAGTCTCTGGTTCAGTTTTATTCCATGAATAGTTCTTCTTGATGCTATTGTTACTAGAGAGAGATTAGTAAAATGGGGAAAGATCTCCACTAATTACTGTGTGTTGCGGGAGAAACTCCACAACACTTATTTTTTTCATGTTCTTTTTTCTAGATGGTGCTAGGAAGACTAAAGTATTCATGTTTTGGTCAATGATAGCCAAACTCATACGGTCTTACCTCAGTGGCCTAATGGTTAAAAGAGAGATAATAGTTGCCTGCCGAAAGAATTGGTCAGGGTTTGATGCCCACATCTACATTCTTTTTTCTATATACTTTCATGTAATTTCAACCTTTGCTATGCAATTTTTTATTTTAGGTCCATTTACTTTCAGAATTTGATAGATCAATTTTACCGTTTCCTTTACATTTGAATGGTAAATTCATGCAATTTCGATCTTTATTGTACCATTTTTAGTTTATTTTATGTTCATTTTCCCATTTATTTCACATTTTAAGGTGAATTTTACCTTTTTCATATAATTTCGAGCTTTGTTATGTCCATTTTTTTCCAGTTTATTTCACATTTTAAGGTGAACTTTTATGTAATTCCTAAGTTAATTTTTATCGGATTCTTATTTTGTTCTTATGGTATAATGTACACAAACCCTAAAACTAATATTTTGCATGATGAAATATTTCGGACGAGATAAATCATAATGTTTAGATTGCACAGATTTTATGCAGTTTTTTAATAAAAAATGTTGTGTATAATTCGGAAGTGATATTTTTTATTAGCTTGTTGCAATAATAAAAAATTATTGATCCTTCCTATCCAAAAATCCTGGCTCCATCCCTGTTTCTATAGAGCTGGTCCTTCCTACAACATAATCACCAAGTTGATATGTTTGAATGACATATTATAGAGTAGTAGTTGTAGTCTGTAGAGCTATGATAGTTACTAAACTATTTTAGTGCAACTTGTTTACATTCTTTTCATTCTACATAGACTCAAGTCGAGTCTTTGCTTCGTTGTTTTAGAACTTTTAGGGGAATGTATTATGCATTCCCATTCGGATTAAATAAGAAGTTCATGATTTAAAAAAAATATAGCGAGAATTGACATAATTTAGGAGATCAAAATGAACTCGTTCATTATGTGCAATATATTTTTTTTAAATTCGAGTTAAAAAAATGTAAAGGTGTTAGAGGATTATAACAAGTGGTGAGAATATTTTTTAGGTAACGACTATTTATTAGCCAAACATTTTTCGGATTCTTTTTTATTAGCCAAATTTATCGAAATACTAAAAATTAACCAAACGTTTTGTAATGCATAAAAAAATAGTCGTTTTTACGTTATCGTTAATAATTTTGTAACTCTTTTCTTAGTTAAAATATTAAAATTTTGGAATGTTAAATGTATCTTTTCAAATCAGTATCATGTTGTCAAGTCAATATTACTAACAAAATTTCTGACTGGAAGTTAATATTTGGCTAATTATTAGTAATTCAATAGATTTTGCTACTAAAAAAGAATCTGATAATTTTTTTGCTAATAAATAATCATTCATTATCCACTAAATTTCCTAAGACATATCGAAAACATAAATAATTTTGTAGATAACAATTAACTCATTCTTCTACTCAAAATTCGGATTAAATAGAAGCAAATACAAGTCAATTAAAAAAAATAGTAGAATTAAAAAAAATCTTGATCACAATCATCACATCTGGAACAATTTATGGTCAAAGGACCATATTTATTTATGCAGTCAGATACATAATTATCCTATAAGCAAGATAAATCTCCTCAAAAAAAAAAAACATCCAAAATAGCATGCATAGCGTGTATTTGGTAGCCAATCGGAAAATAGCAACTAATTATGTATATAGTATCAACAAAACCAAAGTGGTAAGGAAACGAAATGTTTAAAGATTTCATCATTCACATGTGGCAACAAAACAACAGCTTATCATCCTTATTATTATTATTATTCAGTTTTTTTTTTTTTGTTTTGTTAATATTTTTAACTGCGGTAGTTTCCGTTTGTTGACTGATTTCACCATCCTGATAATTACTATTATTAATTAAAGAGTGACCGAAGCATATAAGAAGAAGAAAACGCACAGAACGCCAATCCATAAAAATAATAACAAGAAAAAGGACGGAACGCCAATTAATTAAAAAAAAAACAAACGACAATTCAATTCACGAACGAGGAGGAGGAAGAAGGGGCAAAATGGGGAATTAGAACTGTTTTGAGAGTTAGCTCCATCGACATTCGACAGACAAGCATAAATTGGAGAGGTAGTTGCTGGCACTGGCAGAGAGTTTTAGTTGCTAGAACTGCAGCAACCAAAAAACCATCATCATCAGAGAAAAAAAAAAAAGAGAGAGAGAGCACTAATTTGTAATTACAACTCTCGCCTCAATTCCCTTTTTTCCATTCTTGCGCTCTTTCCCCTTCCCCCAATTTCCCTAATTCAGTTCCATTCATCCCCTCCCCCAAATTTTTCTCTCTCTCTCTCTCTCTCTCTCCCTTTCCTGCCGTCCCTTCTCCCCGGCCGGATCGGATTCCCTCTCCTTTTCCTTTTCCCTTATCCAACAATGGATCCCCGCCGCCGATCCACCAAAAAGCCAGTTGTCGTCGTCCAGTCCCTCCACCACCACCACCACCATGGCCCTCCCTCCGCCGCCGCCGCCGCCACCCACCACCAGGAAGACAGCCACCGCCGGGCCTCCGACGCCCTCCCGCTCCCACTCTACCTCACCAACGCCCTCTTCTTCACCCTCTTCTTCTCCGTCGTCTACTTCCTCCTCACCCGCTGGCGGGAGAAGATCCGCACCTCCACCCCTCTCCACGTCCTCACCTTCTCCGAAATCCTCGCCGTCCTCGCCTTCCTCGCCTCCTTCGTCTACCTCCTCGGCTTCTTCGGCATCGACTTCGTCCAGTCCTTCCTCCTCCGCCCCTCCCTCGACGAAGACGAGGAAGAGGACGACGTTGTTGTTGACGCCAGATTCGCCGCCTGCCCCCAATCCCTCGATTGCGCCACCGCCGCTCCCGCCCCTCCTCCGCCCATGGAATTGTTGCCCCAGGACGACGAGGAGGTCGTCCAGTCCGTCGTCTCCGGCGCCCTGCCTTCCTACTCCCTCGAATCCAAATTGGGGGATTGCAAGCGCGCCGCCTCAATCCGCCGCGAGGCCCTGCAGAGGGTCACCGGCCGTTCTCTAACCGGGCTGCCGCTCGATGGATTCGACTACGATTCGATCCTGGGCCAGTGCTGCGAGATGCCGGTCGGGTACGTCCAGATCCCCGTCGGGATCGCGGGGCCGTTGCTGCTCGACGGCAGCGAGTACTCCGTCCCCATGGCCACCACCGAAGGATGCTTGGTCGCCAGCACCAACCGCGGCTGCAAGGCGATTCACTTGTCCGGCGGGGCCAACAGCGTGCTCCTCAAGGACGGGATGACCAGGGCTCCCGTCGTCCGGTTGCCCAACATCGAGAGGGCCGCCCAGCTCAAGTTCTACCTCGAGGACCCACACAATTTCGACACGGTTTCCATGGTTTTCAACAAATCCAGCAGGTTCGCCAGGCTCCAGAGCGCCAGGTGTACCATGTCCGGAAGGAGCGTCTACATCAGGTTCTGCTGCAGCACAGGGGACGCCATGGGGATGAACATGGTCTCCAAAGGGGTTCAGAATGTGCTGGATTTCCTGCAGGCCGATTTCCCTGACATGGACGTCATCGCCATCTCAGGTTAACTGAAACCCACCCTCTTTATTCCTTTCTCTGTTTGTGTTGTGTTATAAAGGAAAGGAAAGGAAAGGATGCCAGTCTCTTCTCGTTTTAGATTAGGATGATCTCAAAACTGACCTCGCGGTGTGTACAATGAATGAAATCAGGCAACCTGTGCTCGGACAAGAAGCCTGCAGCAGTGAACTGGATAGAAGGGAGAGGGAAGTCAGTGGTGTGCGAGGCTGTGATCAAAGGAGACGTGGTGAAGAAGGTATTGAAGACCAGCGTGAAGTCACTGGTTGAGCTGAACAAGGACAAGAATCTGGTTGGTTCAGCCATGGCAGGTGCTCTTGGTGGGTTCAATGCGCATGCTAGCAACATCGTCAGTGCTGTGTACCTAGCCACCGGCCAGGATCCCGCTCAGAACGTGGAGAGCTCCCACTGCATCACTTTGATGGAAAGCACGAATGAGGGGCAGGATCTCCATGTCTCGGTCACCATGCCTTGCATCGAGGTATAACTATTCAAACAGACAGCTTCCCTTTGGATTCTTCAGATTGCAATGAATGTCTCTTGCATCCATGACCCTTGCTCTGGGTATTGGGTTCATAACAAAGATCAGGTCTTTTGATGGTTAAGTTGTTTGGTAACCACAAATTGGTGGTGGTGGTGCAGGTTGGAACGGTGGGAGGTGGGACGCAGCTTGCATCGCAGTCAGCTTGCTTGAACCTGCTCGGGGTGAAGGGCGCTCACAAGGAGACGCCTGGGGCGAACGCGAGGCGACTGGCAACCATAGTGGCAGGCTCTGTTCTTGCCGGTGAGCTGTCCCTTATGTCTGCACTCGCGGCAGGACAGCTGGTGAAGAGTCACATGAAGTACAACAGATCCAGCAAGGATGTCACCACCCACGCTGCTGCTGCTGCTTCCTCGTAATTTATATTTCTTAGAGGAGAAGGGAGAGAGCTGTTTTTTTAACTATGCTGGCGCTTGGTTTGGGGAATCTGAGAGCCAAGGGGGGAGGGGGAAAGGCTGTATTGCATTCTGGAAGGGGAGAACACGAGAGAGAAGAAGAAGGAGAAGAAAAACCCACCAAGGCACAATTTGTGATTCTTTTGTTTACTGTTCTCGTGTGAGGATTAGGGTTTCACTGCCATTGTCGTTTGATCAAATTGCAACTACTACTGCTCTATATTTTTAAATTTATTTTCCCAGTGTACGATTTGCGTTTGATAATATGATCATGAAAGTAAGAACCATATTTTGCTTGCTGGTGTTTTTAGCGTGTTTATGGAAACTGTGTTTGTTAGCAGAAAAAAGGGGCAAACATTACATAAACCCATGAGAGACAGGACAAACGTGTAAATAGTAGTCCGCAAAAGTGGCCTTAGTACAGCAACTGAAGTGCTTTTTATGTATCAATCAATCAGAATCAAAATCAAGAGAGATTCGTTTTAGTTAATATGGTGGATGGAAAATTGTCGTTGGTCATCAATGAAGGAATTATAAGTCAAAACTAAAACTGGAAGAGTCGGCCATACCTGTAACTGGGAATCTGAAGCTTTCAGTTGGTTGAGCAGAATACCTCAACGGAAGGCGATTGACAACGGAAACCCAAATCCACAGCCATTTCAATCCACTTCCTATTCATATTTCTACTTCCTATCATCTGTGAAATGGGACGGCGGATATCCAGCACAATCGACGGCGGATCCAGGACTTATTGGGCCGCATTTGAATAGAATATTAGATACCGTGCTGATTTATGCAGTCGTTTCAGGGTGGTTCGAGTGGGATTTAGTCGGGCGGACTCATGGTTGGTCCGGTTGGAGTAACGAAGTCTCAAAACAATATAATAAATAATTTTGAGATGAACATGACCCATGAGTCGGGTGGGTTTGCTTACACCTTTAAACACCCGACTCATTCGCCTCGGTTTAGTAAAGTTATAATCCAAATCCAATAGAAAATAGTGAAACCCGTCAAAATCGGGTGATGCATGGATCGTTTTGAATTACTGGGTCAATTTTAATTATTTTGGTGAAATGAATTGATCTATTAATTGAATGAACAAACCAGAAAATATCCTCCCACTTGCTTTGCCTAATTAGTTTTCGACAATTAACCGCTACCTACTTTGGCTTTGACTATAATGTCAACATATCCAATCCCATCACATAAGTGGCAACTAGCACTTTCACCCCTTAAACTATGATGCTTAGTTTTGGAAACCCATTTCCAGTCGGCTTACCTAAAAAAAACTGTATATTTTTGGGTTGGGTCTCAGGTGCTTCTTTTTTTTTTTTTTTTTGTTTAAATATATATCTGTGAACTGATAATTATTACAGGTAGTATTTCTGTTTTTTGGTTTTAATTATCCAATTCATGGTAGAAGTGTTTATCCCAGTATTATAAAAAGAAAGAGGGGCATGGAACTGAAGTGCTGGTAAGTGACAAGTGAAAGAACAAAGATGGGCATGCACTGATGCACAGTTTAATCAGGTTCATTGCTCACAAGCCAGCATTTGTTTCTTTGAGAGAAAGGCCAATAGAAAAGACACCCACATGTGTTTATGTAGTGTACTGTAGTGGGCAAAGGTAGTGGCGCAATAATGCTGGCAGAGTGGGGCTGGCTGGCTCTATTAGAAAAATTTGGCTGCATAATTAAGGCACTTGCTCTGGTGTTTGCACAGCTCTAAATGCAGTAAAGAAAGGGAAAGTATTAAACAATGGACTTCTGTGGAAAAAATCCCAAGTTACACATGTTTTAAAAAAAAATTCTCAAAATACAAACGTTATGAAAATAATTCCCAATCTACGTTAGTTTGGGCCATCACCGCTGTCGACGAAGACAGTGATTGCATCACTGCTGTCGACGAAGACAGTGATTGCATCACCGCTGTCGACGAAGACAGTGATTGCATCACTGCAGTACACGGCCGCGGTGAAGGCCTGACCTGCGTCGAAACTTTAAACAAACGTAACTTTGTGCTCGGTTATCCGATCGTAGCGAAATTTTTTTTGATTCCGCATAATTTTTCGAGATCTTGCAAGCCGCAAATTACCGTAGGCGGTTTGGTCCCGCCTTCGTCTCGAAAATATGTCGTTTGCTACCCCGAACGAGCCTTTTTTCGATTTCGTCAAACTTTGAACGACCATAAATTTGTGCTCCACAATCCGAAAATCATGAATTTTTTTTTATTTCGCATAACTTTTTAAGGACTACAATTTTTATCATAGACATATTTTCGGAATGTACTTGGATTCCTGAAAAGGAAGGTAAAGTTATTCCCAAAATCCCTTATATCCATAAATAATTCATTTTTTGAAAATTCTCTCCTACTAAATATTGTAGTCCTTAAAAATTTATGCGAAATCAAAAAAAAATTCATGATTTTCGGATTGTGGAGCACAAAGTTATGGTCGTTCAAAGTTTGACGAAATCGAAAAAAGGCTCGTTCGAAGTAGCAAACGACATATTTTCGAGACGAAGGCGGGACCAGACCGCCTACGGCAATTTGCGGCTTGCAAGATCTCGAAAAATTATGCGGAATCAAAAAAAATTTCTCTACGATAGGATAACCGAGCACAAAGTTACGTTTGTTTAAAGTTTCGACGCAGGTCAGGCCTTCACCGCGGCCGTGTACTGCAGTGATGCAATCACTGTCTTCGTCGACAGCGGTGATGCAATCACTGTCTTCGTCGACAACAGTGATGCAATCACTGTCTTCGTCGACAGCGGTGATGGCCCAAACTAACGTAGATTGGGAATTATTTTCATAACGTTTGTATTTTGAGAATTTTTTTTAAAAACATGTGTAACTTGAGATTTTTTCCGACTTCTGTAGGCTCTTTATGTTATGGATGAGCGGCGATACAGTGGAGGACATGCAGGCACGGCTGCAACAGTAAGAGTGTTCTGCCGTACGTCCATCTCTGAAACAGCCACAGGTTAGGCACCGGCAGTCCGGCACCGGTGGTAATTGAGATGTATTATTTTCCAAATATCACAAATCTCGTGAATTTTAGCATGGTGTCTTTGAATCTTTCATGGTCTCTAGTGAATCTAAAATATTCGTTTTATTCTTTTCTAGATTGTTAGTCGACAACCCATCTGAATTAATAATCGTAATTATCGAAAATGTTGTCGCGCTCTCCTTTGTTGTCTACATCACTACAGAAGTCTCTAGATACGTTAACGGCTAATCTATGTTTTCACAAGGATTAGAAAAGAAGGTTGACTTCTATTTCTTTAATAAGACAAGGGTAAATGGGTATTTACTCCATTTAAATGAAAATACCATAACAATAACACTAACCCTATTCAAACATAATGCTCGTTGAAATATCACATGTCAAATGCTATGGTATTATGAAATGCAAGAATTGCCCGCAATTCCATATTTACACTAATCATTTCAAATAGAGTGGAGAAATTCAAAGAAAGAACATTGGCCCCTACTACCGCCTAGATCTCGAGATGTTCACTGATTGACCGTCGATTGTAGTGCAAACCAAATTTACCTGTCCCTAAAGTCAGGATTGTATTTTCCTATATCCTCTCTGGGAACCCTAAATTCAGAAGTGACGTACGGTTCTATTAAAGAAGAAGTTTGTTTAGGAGGTTGAGGTGCCTCTGGTTTTAAAGAACGTAAGAGTTTGAAAGTTAAAGCGGCACAAAAAAGAAATGTCTACACTAATGGACGAATGAGAGATTAGAAAAGGAAGGGTTCCATAGGCATGCCTCCGTATGTCTCCTAACCATGTATCATGATCCAGGTCATGTCTTGCTGGATGTACCTCAATTTGGCCTAAGTTTCGGTATCTAGCCAACCTAGAATAGTTATTATGAAACCGATCTAGCTAAACTAACCTAACCACTATCCTAACTAATTACAAGTTGCGAGCTCTCTTAGCTTGAATCCCCTTAGCTTCTCAAATGGATCGATGTTGATAAATTCCCCATATCGATTGACTCAATACCTCTACAATTAGGAGATTGCTCCTCCAGAGATTGACTCAGAAATGTGTAGCGATGAATTGGTAGTCCTCTATTCAACCTCGGAAATCTAATCTCAATAGTTTTCTCCTCACTAGACCTTGACGAGATCAACACTTGCACTTTGAAACTTTTGATCCTGACAGTTATGCTCAAAATGTACTTCGTAAGAACGAAATGATTCGTCTCTTATGAGATGGAGTTCTCTCTTTCAATTTCTCGAGTCTTCTTTTACGAAGCTTGGGGTGAAGCATATGTAGCTTGATTGGGAAGTATTTGCATTCTTTCCCATATAAGTATTTTGAAACGTTATTGTATTAAGAAGATCTTGCCATGCATCATTGCACTTTTTCTGCTACTTTATGCACATAAGGGGGTTTATTTTGCCTTGTACTTTGGTTCTTGGGGACCTAGATCAAGCAAAAGCGTTTTTTCTAGCTCATTTTCCTTGATCGTGAGGATGGTCCATGAAGTCAAGGGGTGTCGTCAGCTTTATCCGTGCCCTTGAAAACACATCCTCAAGTTTGCAATCCCATCATACGGGTGGAAATTTTACTTGTACTAGAGAGGAACTAGCATCATCTGATAGGCCCAACCCACCGAGACTCACTACTAGTATCTCTTCCAAACCTTGATTTTTTCCAAGGATAAGACACCTCACACTTGGATTTTACCCCACACTTTATTTGCGGCGGCATAGTTTATTGATGTAGACTAGACATGGTAGGATGTCGGATACCGAAGCTACATATAGACCCCATTTGCTTTAAGCACAGAAGACTCCTTCCTATGAGGAGTTTGAGAACTCGAAAGGCCTTGTAGGAAGCACCAATCCATACGTTTTTCCTAAAGTGGGACAATGGTATATCAGATGAAGAATAGTCTACCAAAATCCCACTCCACACTTTAAGTGGGACAGTGTCCCCATTTCACCAAACACGGAGTACTGATAGCACTCAATTTGGTGTTCTTTTGGATCCCATATTTATGTTTATTTTGAGTCATTTTATGTTCGTCATTTCTAATATGTCGTCAAATATGCCCTTGATTAGTTCCTCTGAGAAAATATATGTATTCTGGCATGTAATAGATGAATATGTATGTTTAGATATCATCAATGATTCAATCAAGCATCAATTGTGGCCAAAAGGGCCGTATATTGCTATGTAGAGAGCAAGAACTCTAACATGCAATTCTAAAAATAGAACACTCAATTGAAGTTCAAAAATCATGATTCAAGCTCCTAAATTCATTTGAATAATATGGGTACTTGGATCGAAGAACTAACAATGAAAATCACAATAATCTGACGACAGAAGAGAGAGAAAGTGGTGGAGACTTGGTGGTGGTGGTGACCTTTGCCAATAGGTGGTGATGGTTTCTTGGAAATGTTGTTCTTAGGCTTTGTTGATTTGGTGATGGGTAGGTTGTATACCATATTTTAGGGTCAAATTTTGAGTTTTAGAGGTGGATTAGGTCAATGGAAGTTTGAGAATTTGGGAGAAATTTTGGGGAAAAAATGAAGGGGCCGGATTTTGAATAGAGAGACTGGAGTGGATGAAATGAAGGAAGGGGTGAAATTTTGGGATTTTACAGGCATATGAGGGTAGCAACGATCGGACCCGAGAGAGGGCTTTCATGGTTGGTTAACCTGGTTTTTGTCGGGTTTCTGCATTTTCATGTCAGTTCACTTACCTGATTAGTAGGAAAATGAATTTTTTTTTGGTAGAAGAAAATGAATTTTGTACATCCATTCTTCACCAACTCTGTTCCTTGGCAAGCATTTCTTTCAAAAATATCGTATGAAATGTAGCACCTATCCAAAGGATAAAAACTCATAATAAGCATCCTCCAATGGTAAACTCAAAATTTGAAAAGAAATGTTAGAAATTCGGATTGTTTCCTCGACAACACTTTTGTTTAACGTCACTAAGTTAGAAACCAGACATGGGTTGCCTCCCATTGATATGAAGATAAAAAGAGGAAAGGACTTCAAGATAAAAAAAAACTGACATGACCACAAGGAATCCAGATAGAAGACTAGGAACATTTGAATGAAACTAAAATAAAAGAGAGGTGATGGGGGATATAGTTGGGGTCCCAAAAAGTAAGAAGACAATAACATCCAAGTTGAATAGGAGACTAAAATGGAAGAATTCAATAAATGGATTTAATGAGTACAACAACCATCAAGTGAGAGACATTCCGAGACAAATAAAAAAAAGGGGTTATAGGTATAATATGCCCCTCTACTATGATGTTTTATCAAACATGCCCCTCTATTATTTTTTATATCAAACATGCCCTTGTACTTTGAAAAATTATCAAACATGCCCTTCTGTTAAAATTCCTTTGAAAAAATCGCCAATCATGGTTGAAACAAGATTTAGACGAACCGACATCGGCAAATGGGAGCGAAAATGTCAGTTTTGTCTCCCGTTTTATATCTCTGGGTCTATTCAAAGTGAAATTATTCGAATTATTTGGCTATACAAAAGAACTAAAAAATTCTAAAAGTGAAATTATTAGGAATATTTTAGACATTTGTGCTGCCCAAATCAAAGTTCGACCATGGTTAACGTTTTTTGGATGAAAATTTAAATAAAAGGGTATGTTTGATCATTTTTACAGAATACAGGAGCATGTTTGATATAAAAAGGCATATTATACCTATAACCCTAAAAAAATTTCACAAAATCAAAGTACCCTGTAGATGCATAAAACCCATCGATGACAAATGAATATGCCAAAAATACCCGCTACAGTAGGCCACATAGCAATACAGGTTCCATTGAGGGGGAAAAAAACTTTGTCTAGTGTATATTTTTAATAACAATTTACAATCAAATTGATACAAAATATTTCCTTCTATTAAACCATATAGGAAATTTAAAAGGAGCACCTCCACCACATCTCTCCTCCCTCTCCTCCACACCTCTTTTTTTCCAGCCACTAATAAGTCTCTAATACACTCCCGCATTTTTATGACATATAAATACCTTCTTTTCTCCCTTCCACCACCTTTTTCTTCTCATTTCTCTCTGATTCAATAACTATTTTCTTCCTTCCACAATAATCACCGTAAAGCTCTTTCTCTCTCCCTCTCTCTATTCTTTTGTTTTTTTCCTTTATTCGTCATGAATTCATGTGCAGAAATGCAACCCACCTAGCTAATTGTTAGAATTTGTTTTTTTTTTCCTCTTTTCACTACCACGATCATGCATTCATGATTCAAATTCATAGGAACACGAATATAAGGAAGAGAAAATTTTACAATTCTGATTATCGATATATAAAACACTTTTTATGTCGTCATTATCTTCTCAACCATCAAAGAAGGCAATGCGTAACCCCGGTGCGCCAAACGCGAGCCAACAAGGTGGGAACCGGAATGCGAGCGGGAGCGGGCAAACTGTGAAATTCGCCCGTCGAACGTCTAGTGGGCGATACGTCAGCCTATCGAGAGAGGACTTGGACATGTCCGACGAGATATCCGGCGACTACATGAACTACACCGTCCACATTCCTCCCACCCCGGACAACCAGCCGATGGACACTTCATCGGTGGCGGTGAAAGCGGAAGAACAGTACGTGTCGAATTCCTTGTTCACCGGTGGCTTCAACAGCGTCACCCGCGCCCACCTCATGGACAAGGTCATCGACTCCGAGGTCACTCATCCCCAGATGGCCGGTGCCAGGGGATCTTCCTGCGCCATGGCTGCTTGCGATGGGAAAGTCATCAAGGACGAGCGTGGCAATGATGTCATCCCTTGCGAGTGCAGGTACGAAACGCGCGTAAAACCGTTAGGTAAAAGGTAAAGGATCCAACATTCATGTTAACATGTTTTTTCCCTGTTTGCAATGGGGTGTTTTAGGTTCAAAATCTGCAGAGATTGCTACATGGACGCTCAAAAAGACGGCGGGTTATGTCCAGGATGCAAAGAGCCATACAGACATGGCGACTACGACGACGATGTGCCCGATTACTCCAAAGGGGCGCTGCCATTGCCTCCACCGAACAAAGGAGATTCCAGCAACATGTCCATGATGAAACGCAACCAGAATGGAGAGTTCGATCACAATCGTTGGTTATTCGAGACCAAAGGCACGTACGGCTATGGAAATGCCTACTGGCCGCCTCCGGATGACGTGTACGGCGACGATGGTGGTGATGAGGGTTTCAATGGCACGTCCATGTTGGAAAGGAACGACAAACCTTGGCAGCCCCTTAGTCGAAAGATGTTGGTCGACTCCTCGATCCTCAGCCCTTATCGCCTTCTAATCGTGATCCGATTCGTGGTGTTGGGGTTCTTCCTGCAATGGAGGATCACCCATCCTAACAGAGATGCAGTGTGGCTGTGGGCTATGTCCATTACCTGTGAGCTCTGGTTTGCCTTCTCCTGGATTCTTGATCAAATCCCAAAACTCTGCCCCGTTTATCGACTGACCGACCTCGAGGTGTTGAAGGAAAAATTCGAGATGCCATCTCCATCCAACCCCACTGGCCGCTCCGACCTCCCAGGTGTGGACATGTTTGTCTCCACGGCAGATCCTGAGAAGGAACCGCCGCTCATCACTGCCAACACTATTCTCTCCATTTTGGCAGTCGACTACCCTGTGGAGAAGCTGGCGTGTTACATATCTGACGACGGAGGTGCGTTGTTGACATTCGAGGCCATGGCAGAGGCTGCAAGTTTTGCAGACCTATGGGTTCCCTTTTGTCGAAAGCACAACATCGAGCCGAGAAATCCTGACAGCTACTTCAGCTTGAAAGTGGACCCAACCAAGAACAAGAGCAGATCCGACTTTGTCAAGGACAGGAGAAGGATGAAGCGAGAGTACGATGAGTTCAAAGTGAGGATCAACAGCCTGCCGGATTCGATACGCAGGCGGTCTGATGCTTTCAATGCCAGAGAAGAGATGAAGATGTTGAAGCACAAGAGGGAGAGTGGGGCTGACCCATTGGAACCCATCAAGATTCAGAAGGCTACGTGGATGGCGGATGGCACCCACTGGCCCGGAACGTGGGCTGCTTCGGCACCCGACCATGCCAAAGGAGACCACTCTGGGATTCTGCAGGTCATGCTCAAGCCGCCTAGCACCGACCCTCTGATGGGCGGATCCGATGACAAGATTCTCGACTTCACCAATGTCGACATTCGCCTCCCGATGTTTGTCTATGTGTCGCGTGAGAAGAGGCCAGGGTACGACCACAACAAGAAAGCTGGAGCGATGAACTGCTTGGTGAGGGCGTCTGCGATCCTCTCCAATGGCCCGTTCATGCTGAATCTTGATTGCGACCACTACATTTACAACTGCAAGGCCATAAGAGAAGGCATGTGTTTCATGATGGATAGAGGTGGGGAGAACATTTGCTACATTCAGTTCCCTCAGAGGTTCGAAGGGATCGATCCTTCTGATCGGTATGCCAACAAGAACACCGTCTTCTTCGATGGCAACATGCGTGCCCTCGATGGCCTGCAAGGTCCGGTGTACGTGGGCACGGGTTGTATGTTTCGGAGGTTCGCCCTCTACGGATTCGATCCGCCGAATCCTGACAAGACTCAGCCCAAGGACGACTCCTCCTCCGCCGAGACGCATCCCTTGACCACTACCGATTTCGATCCCGATCTCGACCTCAACCTGCTGCCCAAAAGGTTCGGCAACTCGACGATGCTAGCTGAATCCATACCCGTTGCGGAGTACCAAGCTCGACCTTTAGCTGACCATCCTGCTGTCAAATACGGACGCCCTCCTGGCGCTCTTCGAGTCCCCAGGGAGCCGCTCGATGCCACCACTGTCGCTGAAGCAGTGTCTGTAATCTCTTGCTGGTATGTCTCCTCTCCCTGCAGTTAAAATCTCATTTCGCGCGGTAATTACATTGATGCTTCTCACTTTGTTGTGGATAAATGAACCCAGGTACGAGGATAAAACAGAGTGGGGAGACCGCGTGGGGTGGATCTACGGCTCAGTGACAGAGGACGTGGTGACAGGTTACCGAATGCACAACCGCGGCTGGCACTCGGTCTACTGCGTCACCAAGCGAGACGCATTCCGGGGAGGAGCTCCGATCAACCTGACGGACCGGCTCCACCAGGTGCTGAGGTGGGCGACGGGTTCCGTCGAGATCTTCTTCTCGAGAAACAACGCCTTCCTGGCCTCCAGGAAGCTCATGCTGCTGCAGCGACTCTTCTACATCAACGTCGGCATCTACCCATTCACGTCCATCTTCCTGATCGTGTACTGCTTCCTCCCGGCGCTGTCGCTCTTCTCGGGTTCCTTCATCGTGGAGAGCCTCAACATTGCTTTCCTGGTGTACCTGCTGATCATCACCTGCTGCCTCATCGGCCTGGCCGTCCTGGAGGTGAAGTGGTCGGGGGTCGGGCTGGAGGAATGGTGGAGGAACGAGCAGTTCTGGCTCATCTCTGGCACCAGCGCCCACCTGGCCGCGGTGGTGCAGGGCCTGCTCAAGGTCATTGCCGGGATCGAGATCTCGTTCACTCTGACTTCCAAAGGAGCAGGGGACGACAACGACGACATCTACGCGGAGCTGTACCTGGTGAAGTGGACCTCCCTCATGATTCCTCCGATCGTGATCGCGATGACCAACATCATAGCCATGGCGTGGGCGGTCATCAGGACGATCTACAGCGCGGTGCCGCAGTGGAGCAAGCTGGTGGGTGGCGGGTTCTTCAGCTTCTGGGTGCTGGCGCACCTGTACCCTTTCGCCAAAGGGCTGATGGGGAGGAGAGGGAAGACTCCGACCATTGTGTTTGTGTGGTCGGGCTTGATAGCCATCACGCTCTCTCTTCTGTGGATTGCTATCAGCCCGCCGGCCGTCGTCAACACTCCGACGCAACCCGGTGGCACGGGTGGTGGCTTCCAGTTCCCGTAATAATCCTCCAGCCCAGCTGTGAGGGGCTCGTATGGAAAGCTGCAGACTTCTTATATATGCTTTTGTTTTTTTTTTTTTTTTTTTTTTTTTGCTGTAGCTCTGTATACATTTCAATACCAGACAGACAAACAGGCAGGCAGAGACACAAACAGGGTCACACAGGGCTTGCCCTAAACCAAAGCAGAGTAGAAACTAGCTCTTTTTAAGTTGTTATGCAATCTGGTTTGTAAATTAGGGAAGAAGACATGGGAGAGGAGATTCCAGTTTTCATCTGTAACTCACTTCTTTCAACCATTTTAAAAACGTGTTATGTCAAATGCTTGGCAGAGCCTTGTGGAATGAATGCATTATGTTATGTGTTGCAGCAGAAAGAAATCCCAAAACAGAGATGGCAGGACATCCCAGTAGAAGAAATGTAATGGCCATACCAAACTAACCGACTTCAAGAGCACAAATGCACTGAACAACCCTTTTCCGAACCGAAAGTCTGAGCAGCTCGTGAGCGGTTTGGCTCATTTGCAGCCATATGCACAGCGCTTTCCAGCTTCAAAATGCGCTGGTGCAACAATGCATTCAAACTGTCGGGTACAAGTTTTGCTCCTCAATTTCACCTAGGCTTTGGCTGGGATGGGAGTAGCAATTTGAAGGCATGCGGCCACCAACGTAGATTCATCATCGCCCTGTTCGTCGAGACTACTATTTCCATCAATAACTAATGCAATTGAATTTTTTCTTGTGACAATCATGAAACAGCATGATAAACACAATGATCAAACGTATTATTTAGCATATATGTCAACTAATTGCCATTATCTTTTAAGTTACAAGTAGTATTCATGCATGGCGATAATAAAGTTACTACTACAATACAATGTCAAGAAAAGCATGGTTAGCTCTTCCCAGTTGACTACGGGTAATGAAAATGACCTGGCACTACCAAATCATGTCTATGGGGGGGGGGGGAGATGCTACATTAATGTTTCCTCAAGTCATTCCTAAGCAATTTAAAGGACCTTCTAGTCTCGAGTCGGAGCATATCCACAGCTTAACCATCTGACTGCTCGAACGGAACCCGCACAAATAACTGACCGTGCAAGGTCACTACTGCAGATGTCTGATGAGGATCGATCCTTGAAGGGAGGCTAACCACCTGCAAGTCAACAACCGATGTAAGGCTCTGTTTCCCGCATTAACACTTATCATCCAGCCAAAATGAGGCCTAGCGGCTTAGAGAAGTTGGCCTGTGTTTCTCTATAAGAGAGTTGGATGTCTCGTGATGAAAAAGTTAAAAACGAATAGAACATGAGATCAATGCCAACAAGCTTTTCCAACTGAAGCTTATAAAGGCATCCGCTTCAGTCATCCAAAACTCACCTTTTTAAATGGAGTGACACCCCAGGGATTTTCAAGTTGTTCTGGTTGACCAGATATAACCAAGCGCCCAGCTGCATCAGACTGAACATGAACCTGCACATGAAATTGTTCCAAATATCATCAGCACATCCACGGTAGAGCTAGGCTAATCACAAACTAATGCCAGAGAATAACACAATCGTCCATTTCCCACGGGCCACAATTGCCACCGCACTTATTAATAACTGGCCAAACGGTTGAACTGGTTCAGGAAGCATCCCAAGTTTGGGTCAATTCTAGGGATCTGTGCAATTTTACGGAAGGAAAGAACAGGAAATTTGCAGCATATATATGAGCATCAAGTGAGCATATGAATGAAATTGGTTCATTAGAAATCAACACAGCAGTCAGCAGAGCAGCACAGGTTCCACTTTTCTAGGAAAGGGAAGAGGGAGAAACACGGACATCGTGTCTTCATACAGCAAACATATCAACAACTTGCAAGCACAAAATTTGTACTGTTGAATACTTTGGGTATCATACTTCAGAAATTCTTTCGGAAGGCCCCTCTAGCCAATTGTATGTTACGATAATACCAAGGACAGACGAGCATGTAGTGTCAGCTAAATTTGCTTACCATGGAGCAAGAATCAAATACAAGACCAACAATAGTTCTCTAACCTCTATGATACGCATTTAAGAGGTAAACCAATTAAAACCTGTTGCCATGGAGACCTACATTTTCGTTTAATGAGAAAGATATTACATTCAAGATCTCTATGATATGTACATCTTACCTCCTCGCGTAGAAGTCCGGGAACTAAAGCATATACCTCATAGCAATCATTCTGTGAAAAGCAAGCAGAATCAGCAAAAACTCAAGATGATAACCATTGAAGTCGCAAATCAAGAATTTAAGTTCATTGAAATGGAAATAGAAATCTTACAGTTCTCTGTACATTGACCTTCACCCAGTCAGCAGGGGGTCCCACATCGATTACCACACTATCCGCTCTGATGAACAAAGGAATTAAGGTTTCTAGTTTTCATAATCCACTACATTTAAGAAACATAAGGAATATTTAAAACAAAAACCTAACTGTGTCCTTGTTGTTTTCAAGGGAGAAACATTAATGGCGCGTTCAGCACTTGACAGCTTCTTCCTCTTAAGTAAACCTGATAGAGGGTAAGCGAAACTCAGACTTTGCACACATGTTTATTATGGGACCAAGATGCTGATATAAAAAGATCAGAAATGAAATTAAGTCATACCATTTGTCTTCAATGGCTTCTCAACCTTGGGGATGGAGCTCAAATTCTTATCCTAAGTCCAAAACCGCAAGAAGGTTGAGAAATTAATCAGAAATGAAATTGCAGCAGTAGAAGTAGAAACTGAAGCTTTTTTCACGCACCTTAATGACTGGTTGAGAAACCTCACCATTACCAAGCAGGCGTTGAGAATGCCAACCCTGCATTGCACGAGCAGCAGCATCTCTTCGTGGCGCTCGACCAGGTACGAGACCCAAGCTTCCACTGGACTGCAATCAACATTGATACAACAATTTCGTGAAAAGCGATCCTGGATGCGAAGCCCTAGAGTGTGACACTGGAAAAGCCAGGCAAATCGGCAGATGCACGCTGAAGAGAAACATTTTACCACGGGATAAACTCATAAAGCACATCAAATAGGATAAGTGGAAACAAAAATCCCACAAAAACTGGGGGAATAATTGAAAGAATTGCATTACTACTTAAGCGTGTTCAAGTATTCGTCCGAAATTCGTCAATGAAGTACTTCAGGGAAAAACATCTCAAAAGTACAAATATCAGAACCTCTGATAAGTTTAGCAGCTGAGTATTACGTATATGTATTGAGATTACAAGGCAGTTATCTGAAACCAAAAAGGGGGAATGATAATGAAGGCAGCTATAGACAGGTTAATTCCACAGACAACAATACATGTAGGTGAATGATCTTTTAGATATTACTAGGTCCACCTTCCAATTATCCTTTCTTGCAACTTAACATTAAGTAGCATGGAATGATGTTACTCACAATTAATCCAGTTGAATTTATCTTCTAAAAATGAGTAATAGATAAAACTTAACAACAGACTTGTTTACCTATAAACTATCAATGCAACAAAACATCTAGAATACCATTGACCTCAGAATCACCCATTAATCCCACAGTACACAGACACTGTTGGATGCATACATTGCCCATCAGCTAATCAAGTAAAGGAAATCTTAACATGATATGTCCCAGATTTAACATACAGAGAGAACTTAGAAGGACCAATATTCTTTTAGGGCTTTTATTCATAACCAAGATGGATGCAGCAAATATATCCCAGCAAAGCCAATCTAGCTTACCTGGTTTTCTGGCCTTGTAGCCTCGATTGATATACCATCAGAAAAAGGAAGCTCACCATTACGCATTTTATGCTTCTCGTATTCAAACAATGCCTGAATGAAGAGAATAAAGCAGATTCAAGAACTTCTTTAGACAAAAAAACCACTAGCTGATAGACAACTAGATAAGACAGAGGTTAACCTTCTCATAAAAAATTCTGAATGTCCACGAGACTGTTGTGCACGTCCTAGTAAGGTAGAAAAAGAAAACAATTAATTTAAATTAAATTAACAAATTGAACCCAATAAATCCGAGACAGATGGAACAATACTTGTTTTACGGTAGAAATGATACGTTCTCCAGTAGCTAGTCATATAATGTCTAGACATAACCACTACAAGAACTAGAAAATTGTCGATGTTTTAAAGTCCATTCTACAAATCAAACACATTTCAAATAATGCATAAACAAACGTGTCTTGGCTCGGAGACAATGTTTACTCCCCAAAAGAAGCTTCAGTTTCCAGTTCCTATTAATCAAGCCAAAATCCAGAAATCAACTTAAAATCAAAGATCATTACTTTGGAGGTCTAAATGATTCGCCAACTTGCCGCCATAACTTGCATGATGTCACCTACAGAAAATAAGAAACCATAGAAAAGACTATAATACCAATACCAACAGAGATGAATCTGCTCTCATGAAGATATGACACAATTGACAATAGGAGGAAAAAAATGAAAAGGAACATTAGAGAACACAGAAGAAAAAGCAAGGTTCTCCAAATCATCAGTTACCTATTTTGCCTCCCAACAGAGAAGGGATGTTTCAAATTTCAGATGATAACAGCACAGGATTGACTAATTATTCACACACCTTTATCCAACATAAGATCCAAACAAGGTAGATTAAATAGATACTTTCAAAGAAAATGCTTTCTTAGAAAGCGACTAACTTCCACAATTCAACAAAGACACAAGACTGTTTCAAAAAAAAAAAAAAAAAACAAAGACACAAGAAAATCGAACAATCATGGATACGTCCAGGCTGAAAGCTGAGAAGGTTCCCTAAACACAGTGTGCCAGGAATAATCAAACAAATATGTGTCTAAATGGCCATGCATATGTGCAGTACGGTGCTAAACAGTGAAAATCATAACATGCGAGAAACTAGTCTATCAATTGGCAGAAACTTAACCAGTTTGAAGGAGGACAAAAATCAGACTGAACCTGTTCATAGCCTCCCAGTTTGACGACAGCTCTCCATAACCTTAATCAAATGCAGCAGCAGAACGATCAAGAATCTTTATGAATGGATGTAAACTGGGAGAAACAAGCAGGAATTCTGTGAGTTGCAAAAACTTACTTAAGCAGATTTAGTTCTTCTTTATAAAACTTTGGGGCCTTGAACTCCAAGTGATTATCTCTATAAAAAGTTTCAACCTCCTTCATGAACTCCAATTGTTCCTCCTCTGTTCCCGACTCGTATCCCTCATCCGATGAAGGTTCCAAAAGGAAATTTCTGCCAGGGGTTCTCAGCGCACCTCCAGACTCTTCTTCATCCAACTTGGATTTGGCAAGTTCCTTCTTATTTACAGAGTGAACCGGCAAGTCAACCTTGGCCAGTTCGTCTTTCAATACGGAGACTCTCTCTCCCCCGTGATCGTCTTTGCTCTCAGCAGACTGGTTATCAGCCACAGGAGAAACCGTATCTTCCTCATGTTTGGTGGTAGAAAATTGCTTCTGGCCATTCGGAACAATTGTGCCATCATCAGCACTGCTATCATCAGGACGCCTGGATTTGAAACTTGCATCTTCATTATTTGCTTCCTGCTTAGCATCGTCCGATGATTTATGGGCAGGGGGCTCCGCACAAGCAGCAAAGCCAATAGAGGACTCTTTATCAGCAGAGAGGGGCTCAGGAGCAGCAGCAGCACTAGCCATTATGTCCCCCGAGCAATGTGGATTGTCGCCCTTGTCGGGATTATCAGCAACAGGAGCAAGTTCAATAATGCCAGGGGCAAGCTGAGGGTTATCATTTGTACAATTGAGGGTCTCCACATCCATAGGAACACCACCAGAATCCAATGCAGACAACTCTGCCCCTTTATTTTCACTAGGGAGTTGGGGATCAAATTGCTGATGATCTTGTGCAGCATTTTCTAGATTGGGATTGAGTTCTCCATCAGCGGCAACCACAGCCGCATTTTCAGCATTAACATTCTCCGCTTCTTTTGGATCACCCATGTCTCTAGAACGAAAATCTACACAGATGGAGCTGCAGAACCGGCTAAGGCAATCAAACACCAGGTTAGTCCAAGAGAAATAACCAATACATACTTGAATAGAAAGAAGAAGGAAGAGCGCAAGAGAGGATACTTACAGTGTTGAGTGAAGGAGTGATGAGACGAAGAGAACGAAAGGCAACGTAACCCTAGACAGAGAGAGAGATAGAGAGAGAAGTCAGTTGTTGTGTAAGGATAATGAAGACGGAGAAAAGAAAACCCAATTGCAAAGAAGAAACAATGGCGTGAAGCCCGGAATCCATAAGCCGCCTGAAGTTTACCGACGTGACCTGAGACCTGACTGTAACAATCGGAGCCAACAAGAAAGAGAGAGACGAAAACACGGACAGAAAGAGAGAAAGAGAAAGGGAAAAGAAAAGAGATAACTCGTACGTTTCTTTCTCGCGGTGTCGGACGGGATATTTTACATGAGCTGGTCGACGTCGCTTGGAGATGGTGGATGAAGAAGAGGAGGAGAAGGCGGAGTTGCGGCGGCGGCGGTGGCTGATCCGCTCCGTACAACCTTTTTCGCTCAATTTGACAATTTCCCGCAAATGACAGAAGTTACGATTTAACGGAAGCAGGAATAGGAAGTATTTTCAATAAAAAAAATTTGGGTAACGTTTATTTATTATCTAAAACTTTTTTAGTATTTTTTTTATTAGTTTTTTTTTTACAAAAGATAATCATGTATTGATAAAAAAAATAGGCAGTTAGAGTTCAGCCAGACATGAAAATCAAAGAATTAGTCAAATTAAACTTATCGAAAAACTAAAAATTAGTTAAATGTTAACTTTTCACTTTTCAGTTAGCAATTTTGTTAGTAATATTGGTTTGGCAACATGATACTGACTTGGAAGAGACATAGAAGTCAACATTCCCAAATTTAAGTATTTTAACAAAGAAAAGAGCTACAAAATTATCAATGATAACGTAAAAATGGATAATATTTTGATGCATTACGAAAGATTTGGCTCCTTAATAGCATTTTAATAGGTTTGGATAATATAAAAGAATCTGAGAAAAGTTTGGATAAAAAATAGACATTACCTATTAAAAAACTAGTAGGAAGTATGTACGTGAGAGGCAAATCTCATACCGATAAAGTATGTGAGGGATTCATGACTCATAAAATAAGAAATTGACTTTAATTGATAAGATGTGTTTTGTGGTGATGGAAGCGTCCTTAAAAGAACTTTGAAGTTAAACGTACTCGGTGTGAAGTACTACAAAGACAGATGATTTTATGAAAGTCATCTTGATACGCACCCCAATGCAAAATCTGTGAGTATCTGGGTTTAAAACCGACAATATCAAAGAATTAATTACAGATGTCATGTGTACTATATAATTTTGTTTTTGTTTATATTACTTGGAAATAGAGTGAGTCTCACAGTTCAAGGTTGTGAAACTGGTTTATACGGTTATGTCGGGTTAACAAGTACTTCCCAAATTGCAGAAACCATAATCTCTTATTAAGCGAATCTCGAAGGCAAAATACTTCCCAAATTGCTCTATCTTAGAGGCGCCATTGGGTTACTACCCGAGCTGTACGTGAAGAAGCCTTCTATGGAGTGGCGGAGCTAGCTTGGTAGAGGGTGGGTCCCCGGACCTACCTTGGCTCGAGATTAAGTGCTTGTTTGGAAGTTGTGATTGTTAAATATATATATTAATACGAAATCCAAGCTCACAATACAAGTAACAATCTCACGTAAACAATCGCAACTTCACAATATATATATTTGTACGAAACCCCTAATGTTAAAATCAAACCCTCATGTTCACTACTTTTCTACTAACATATTGTAGAAAACTTTATAGCACATATTAACCTTACATATTATGTAATTAACTCTAGATTTTTACATAAAACTACATCTCTAATGGTTTATTCTTAGTTTTTTAATTTATAATTTAGGGTAAATTTCTCCATCCTCAAACGAAATCGGTCGAAAAACTATAAAACACATCTTGGGTCATGTAAATATTAATTATATTTATCATATATATTTTTTATTTTCACGTCGGACCCACCTTGAATGAAATTCTGGCTACGCCACTGGTTCTATCAGCTCGAGATTTAGTCCTAAAAGGAAGTAGATGGTGGGTTGGTAATGAGCTAAACACAAGGTTGTCAACCCGCGGGTTGACCCGGACCCGGTCGACCTAGTGGGTCAAGGGTTAATGGGTCAACCGTTTTAGCCCGGTTTGGCCCGGAAATATAGAAAGAGTCATTATATTGTACTTATCCTAATAAATTATATCAAATCTTATCTAACATATGAGTTATAACATATAATATTACACCAAAATAATATATTGTACTTAGATTCAACATATAATGAAAATTCACACACACTTATATAACATAAATATTCAAATGTTCAACTTAGTATTCCAAAGATTGAGTTAGGCGAAAAGAAAAATTGGAAAATAGGCGCATTTCGCAAACTAAAGGAAAAAATGACACAATTTGACCTCCAACCCGTTACCTAATAGTGGTCGGCCCGGCGGGTGCGTGCGGCCCGTTTTTCTCACCGGGTCAGGGTCAAATTGGGTCGACCCGTGGGTCAACCCACGGTGGGTTGACAACCTTGGCTAAACATTAACATATGGGATGATATGTGGATCCCTACGCTGCCACAAAAGAAATCGAAAGTGGGAGCGCAAGCAAAGATGGGAATCGAGAAGGTCCTGTAGGAAAGTTGGTCGCCAGCAATTGCAGAAGGTAGAGCAGTGTTGTTCGCTGTGAAATGTATGGAAGAGATGAGTTTAGGGTCTTATGTGATTGAATCGGATTGCCAGGTTAGGTAGTGATCCAAAGGTTGAAGGCACACATAAGAAGATTTCTCTGAGCTGAGGACAGTTTGTGCACAGATCAAAGAAGTTGTTAGAAGGAGTGACTATAGAGTAGGGATGGCGACAAAATACGAACCCACGGGTATCCTACCCGACCCAACCTGGTCAACGAGGGTAAAACCCGTGTTGACGGGTTTTGGGCCGAGTTTGGGTTTAAACCCGCTACACCATCACCGGGTTGGTTGGGTTTGGGTTTAGCCAAACCAGCCCCATGGGTACCCGCCCACACTCATATAATTAATTTTTTCGGTAGATTTAATATTCTAAACAATATATCTTCCTTAAACAACTAATCTTCTTTATGTTTGTGGAGCCATGTCTAATTTGTTCTTTCTAATTGTGTACGATGAAGTTGATATTATGGAGTGGAGAGTGAAGAAGCTTAGTTGACAAGGAGGAAGGAGCTGTCAATTAATCATGTTGTTTATAGATGTTTATCTTTAATTTTGAACAATTTGTATTGATAATTTGCGGTTTGCTTGTATGCTCTACATTGGTGTTTTTTTTTGTATGGATAATTTTTATGAGAAAATTGATGTTAGACTTTTATTTGCAAGAAATTTGTTATTGTAAATTTTTACCGCAAAAATCCACGGGTACCCATGAACCCGCGGATACCCAGCGGGTTGGGTTGGGTTTGAGTTTTTGAAACCCAACGAATTTTACCCTGGATTTTTTTGGCGGATAAACCTATGGGTTTGGGTTTGGCAAAATCGCTCCAACCCGTCACATCGCCATCCATACTATAGAGGACGGTGGTTCTACGCCTGAAGGGAAGTAAATGAAGTAGCTCATAGGCTAGCTCATCCTCCTCCTAATTGTTTGCGTTGTATGTCTTGGGCCGAGATAATATTTCAGTAGCAAGGAACGACTGTGAATGCGGTGGTGGAACGAAGACGGCGAGGTTTCTTCTAATCAAATTCAACGGACGCCTTCAGGCTCCAGTCATCGTCCCATCTCGGCCTGGAAGAGGACTGAGAAGGTAATCTAATCAACCAGTCGTTCGTCTATTGCTTCTCCCCAGGTCCTCGCTTCATTTCAGGTTCTTAGCATCAGTACCTTCAAAATCCTGCGGTTCTACCACAGCCTCCTGGGCGTGTTCCAATTCAATTGTGCTGTTTAAAGCTCCTAACCATTCAACCAGACGAATTTCTCTTCCTTCCAACTTCCGATTCTCCTAACTAGCTTCAAGAATTCATCTATCAGCCATGGCAACTGCTTAGCGCGGCCGAAACACGCATCTCCTGTGTAGCGAACCCTAGATCCTCATTTTGCTTTGCCATTGCTCTGCTACTGCCTTTTTTCTTTCGATAGCTAGAGGATTCATGAGTGGTAGCCGGCACAGGGCCCTTGGAGGAGGGGTTCAGCAGCATGTCTTGGATTACCTGAAGCGGATGCAGGTCGAAAGGCCTGGTTTTTCTTACGAAATTCAAAAGGGCCATGAGAATGAGAGTTCCGGAGGTGGGGTTGTATTCTGGGCGGATCCCGTCTGCAAGATCAACTATAGCTTCTTTGGAGATGCTGTCACCTTCGACACAGCATACAGAACTCACCGCTTTAAGGTTCCGTTCGCCTCCTTCGCTGGAATCAACCACCACGGGCAGCCTGTGCTGTTTGGTTGTGCACTCATCTTCGATGAATCCGAGTCGTCATTTCTCTGGCTGTTCCAAACCTGGCTTCGAGCTATGGGATCGTTTACACACCCTGTCTCGCTCATCATTGAGCCCGATCGGAGCATTGAGTTGGCTGCTGCTCAAGTTCTTCCCCAGACCAGACATAGGTACTGTAAACAAGAGATCTTGCAACAGACATTGGAGAAGCTCTCTGATGTATCCCAATCACATCCAGGTTTTGGTGCTGAATTCAAGCAGTGCATCGACGGAGCTGAGACGATTAATGAGTTTGAATCGCATTGGCAATCTTTGCTTCAGAGGTACTATCTCGTGGATAATCAGTTGCTTCAGTCCATGTACGCAACTCGAGAGCAGTGGGTGCCGGTTTATATGAGGAACACATTTTTCGGACAGTTGTCAGGAAATGGTGGTGGTTTGAACTCGTTCTTTGATGGTTTTGTGACAGCTTCGACTACTATGCAGATGATAGTGAAACAGTACGAAAAGGCTCTAGCAAGCTGGAATGAGGAAGAACTGAAAGCAGATCACGAGACTACCAACACTACACCATCTCTGAAGACTCCTTCCCCAATGGAAAGACAAGCAGCAAACTTGTATACCAAAAGAATATTCATGAAGTTCCAAGAGGAATTGGTTGAAACTCTTGCTAATCCAGCAACTAAGGTCGATGATTCAGGAGATGTTGTCCGATATCGCGTGGCCAAGTTTGGAGAAGACCACAGAGGACATACCGTCAGCTTCTGTTCGTTTGAGAACAAAGCTACTTGCAGCTGTCAGATGTTTGAATTTTCAGGGATAATCTGTAGGCACGTATTAGCAGTTTTCAGAGCCAAAAATGTTCTCACACTTCCTTCTCATTATATATTGAAACGATGGACAAGAGATGCCAGGACTGGTGGTGCTATTCTGGAAGAAGAATGCGGTTCTGAAATACCAAATGGTACTCCCGAGTCCTCAACATCTAAGTATAACAATTTGCGTCAGGAGGCAATCAAATATGTGGAAGAAGGGGCGAAATCGATCCATGTTTACAAGGTGGCAATGAATGCATTGCAAGAGGCTGCCAAGAAGATTTCTGCTGTGAATAGTGGTTTACCTTCAGGTACACCTTCAACCAACGGAAGTGGTCAAGACCTGCTACCGGCGATTGGAGAAAGTGAATCAGCTTCCCAATCAGTGGTTAGTTTCTCTTACTATAGAACTTTAGCAATTGAGGTGCATTGTTACTTTTAACCTCTCATCTAGCTTAAGCCACTACTTGTTCTTTTTTCATTCTCTAAGATGTTTAGGCAAAGCTTGTGGCTTGCGAGTTACTACTGTGCGTTGTTATCTTTCATTAGATGGAAGTCTACTGCTTAATTGTTTAAACCAAACATGCGGTGAAGAACTTGTTAAGGGACATAGTTGTCTTTGAATTTGTTTGGGGTTGCTAAGACTACTCAAGTCTTTCACGATCAACACACTGCTATTTGTTTATTTTTCTTCTTCTTCTTATGACTGTAGTAGTCTCTTTTGATGCATGCCCAGGTTGAGAAGGAAAAGAAGATTCAGGAGCTGACGATTGAATTAGAGAAGACCAACCAAAGATGTGAAGTATATCGAACGAACTTGCTAGCCGTGTTGAGAGATATGGAAGAACAGAAAATGAAGTTGTCGGTGAAAGTCCAAAATGCACGGTTAAGTATGAAAGAATGAATGGTGTTATCTGATCCGCATATGTGATCTGTTAATCCATGACGAGATAAAGTTTGGACGAGGAGTTGAGACTTCGGGGTGGCACTTCTCAGTATGGCTGCGAGTGCTGATCTAAGTCGTGGTAACGCCACGATCTCTTCATAGTTGATCGACTGATGGTGATGGAGATGAATGTGATGCAAGGCCTGATCCCGCCATTAAAGGTGTTCTCCTTGCCTTTCACTTGCCTCCCAGGAAATCAGGCAGTAGAGTTTGTCGCATTTGCAGTTTGTTACTTGTTGTTCATTGACCAAAATAAGATTTTGTTACTTGTTAGTCAATATGCCAGGAAGAATGCTGGAATACAAGGTGGCACGAGTTTTTATTGCCTTCTAATGTGTACTAGGAAAAGGACCTATTATGGGGTTTCATTACACAGCATTTATAATCACACCATTTACACCATTTATGTTTGGCCATGGACCAAATGGTAATTTATGTTTGATTCTTAACAATACTAGGTTGAGAACTTGTGCACAATTATTGTTTATCAAGGTCGGAAGTAAAATGCTAAATAAAAATAGGAATGTTATGTAATACAATTTTCAAATAGTGTAAGTCTTCAAATGAAACGATATAGTTTAAGCCCGGTTCAAGAAAGAGTGTGATCATTCACATATAAGATTAAGTTGAAACTACTGAGTCAAACTCCCTTTAAATTACCACTTCTGAGCTATGAGAGTAAAATGGATTGGATAGCCAATGACGCAAGTGCTGGAAGTTTGGTACTTGTATTTGGGATATATGGAATATCGTACCGTATTTGGTATTATCGAATACACTTATTGTTTTATGAGATTGCGATATATGCCGAAATAGAAACTAGTGTATATTTTATCCATCAACTAGGCTCCTTCACTCACTACTAGACCTTCAACAGTCAAGATTGTCACTTAATTATACAAAGTTCATTCTCTCACTATTTCCAACTAATACCAAACACATTTTGTTACTGTAGTATGTTTATGGTTTGCTTAGTCAAACCATGTTTCAATTTGTTGCTTTAGTTTGTTAAAATGCTTCATAGGCACCACATTTTTCTAGTTTGTTGTTATTATATTTGAGATTAATTTCCCATTTGTGTTTGCAAATTGTGTTGGCACCACGGTCTGTTTTTACATATTTTGAGAAAGGTTTATGAAGCTATTATTTGAATGTGCATATTTGATTTGTAATTTGAAGGAAATTAATTTGGTATATATCAATACTGAATTATATTTTAGGAATTGGGATTAAGATATCAAAATTATTTTTTGGAATTGGGATTTGGATTGAGTTTAGGGTACTATTTGATATTTGAGATTTTGGTATTTGGTAGTAGGATATTGATACCGTACTAATTTTCAACTCTATGCAAAAGCAAATTATCTATCTACACTTAATATAATGGTGAAATGGGAAAAGTGAGTCACATTTCAAATTTCGTAACTTGAGAATGATTCTAGTAATGTCATTTTTTTTATTACACCCAGTTTACCTTTATATACTAAAATGTCACATTGTATTTATTGTTATTTCTTTGATTAAACTCTAGAAACATGTTTGGTGTTGAGGCTTTCATATTTATATATTTTACGTGAAGTTATTTATATCTTATAGAAAGATATTAATTCTGAAATTAGAACTTAAGTAACATTTATTCAAACATTAAATATCAAATTGTATGTGTGATTTAGCTTAGACAATATAGATGTGTAACTAAAACATGGACCTTTGTTTTTTTTTTTTTTTTGACAAATCTAATGAAATACGCTGACGTGACATTTTTATATTAACTTGCCAACTTGTGATTTCCTAAAAAATTAGGTTCTACTTGTCCTAGATATGTTGAAAATAGAAGGTACCAATCAAAGTCTCCACTCGTTACCAAGTTTAATTATATTTTTCTATTTAGTATATATCTTGAATTTTGCTTAACCATTTCATGGGTTGTTGTGAGCTTTGTGTGTAGTTCTTGTGCATGCACCCTAGGGGAATTGATCATCTCATTCCCTTGGATACTGATATTGAGAGAACCTTACAAAGCTTAAGGAGGACTAGAACAAAACAAGAAACCAAGGTAGAAGATCATATAATTGCAGACCACCAACAACAACCAGTTAACTACGAGAAATCATACTAACATCACACAGACACAGGCAAGCGATTCAAACCGGAAACTAAAATCAACACGGGAAAGGATACCAAAAAGATGCAAGAACTGTACAGCATCTGCAATATAGAATTTGCAGCCGAGCAGCTACAATTTATAAGTTGTCTTTCATACTGATTTTAATGTTCTGTACGTTAATTGACAGTTGAAGTTTATGATCCTCTATGTCCTTCAAAACCGACAGCAAGTTAGCCCTATATACTTCACACTTTCGACTCGCTCGCTCCACTTCGTTCCTCAGTTGTTGGATCTTCTTGTCCATGTCATCCTGCACCATAAACAAATCAAAAACCACCACTCAATACATCCACTTTTACCAGACAACCAATGCATTTATCAACCAGACCACTCCTTCATCAACAGCCTCAGTCAAAGCAAAGACCCAACATATGTTTCCCAGTTTTTCAAGATTTCTTACTCGTTGCGATTACAAGGGACGAAACAAAGGAGGGACGCTGTTCTAGACGTGGCATGACAATATAACACCTTTTGTATAGTTGGTAGTTTGATGGCTTGGAAACAACACAGGCACATCAATCCCACTTGTTATTCTTATTCAGGTCAAACAAGGGGATTAGCTATCCTATCCATTTTAATTTTCTTTATCTTGCATATAAAATATCTGTTGAGATGAGGAGGAATGGAAGGATTAAAAATTTTGCTAAGCCAAGGCTTCTAATCAGATAACAGAAAAATTCCAACCAGAAGAACTAGAGTTGATGCATGGTGAAACTTGAAGTAACAGGGAAACGGAGAATGGTGCTGACCTCTGACAAAGTTTGGCCTGAGATCCGCACTCGGGTACCACTGCTAAACTTTTCTGTGCCCTTGTCACCAGCAGATGCCACCTTATTCCGACCATTTGAAAAAGCTGATGACCTCCCATCATTCTTGGCAGCATTTAGAACTTCTTTCGCAGCTTCTTTCAAAGCAGTCAACGCTACATCATAAGAGTCTGCAGAAGACTTCATTGCTTCATCAACAAATCTGAATGCTTCATGGCGAAGGGTATTATATCGAACCGTTTGAGACTCCAAGTAGTTGGTGTATACATCTGCAGAAGACTCTTCGATCACAACACTGCTCCTGGCATTTCTGGTCCATCGGCGCAAAATGTAATGAGAAGGCAGGGTAAGCACATTGGTGACTCTAAATACTGCCAAGATATGTCTGCAAAGGAGACCAGAAAACTCAAACATCTGGCAACTACAAGCTGCTCTCATCTTCAAGACATTGAATTTCACATAGTAAGGTTTGTTATCCTCCCCAAACTTGGAAACTTGATAAGTAATTCTGTCCTCGTCACCATCATCTACTTTGGATGCCATAAAAGTTAGTGTCTCAAACAGCTCTTCCTGAAATCTTGAAAATAGTTTCCTGGTGTAAAGCTCGGATGCCTGTTTCTCCATAGGAGATGGAGTCTTCAAAGCTGGCGAAGTGTTCATTGTATCATAATCAGCTCTTACTTCTTTCTCATTCCTACTCTCCAGAGCTTTCTCATAGAGCTTAAAGAAATGCTGCAGATTGGTTGAAGCATTAATATAACCATCAAAGTAAGAATTCATACTATCGCTTCGCTGGGTTATCGACATCTCTGCAAAGAATGTGTCCCTTAAATAAACGGGCACCCACTGCTTGCGATCGGAGTAAATAGCTTGCAGCCAGTCATGATCCCTGAGCTCATATCTATCAACAAGGGAAAACCAGCAAGATTCGAATTCCTCAACCGACTCAGTCAAGTTAACACATTTATGGAAGTCTACCTCAAAAGTCGGATGCTTCAAGAACACATGAGAGAGCTTTTCCTGACACTTTTTAAAAATATGCCATTTGCAAAACCTATGCCGGGTCTCTGGGAAGACCTGCATCACAGCTGACCTTAACACCACATCATGATCAGTGGTAATGGACACCGGGTGGTGGCCAGACACTGCCGTGAGCCAAGTGTTGAACAACCAAACAAACGATGCTTCAGTTTCACTCATTATGAAAGCACAGCCAAATAACACGGGTTGCCCGTGATGGTTTACACCTGTGATTGGCGCAAAAGGTAGGCGATACCTGTTGGACCTATAAGTTGTGTCGAAGGTGACAGTGTCCCCAAAGTAGGCAAAATCCGACCTGGCTTTTGGATCAGCCCACAGCACATTTCCAGTAAACTGATCATCCTCGCACTGAACAGCGTAAAAGAAATTGGGATTCTCGGAATTTTTCTGCCTTAAATAATCTATCAGGAGCTGTATGTCACCTTCCATGCTCCTCTGTCGATTGTTGCGCATATAATTCCTGCAATCCACTTCAGTGAAGCCAACTTTGCTGATCCCACCATACTCTTTAATCAACGCAGACATAATCCTGCGAGGCCCCATTCCTGCTGCCTGCAAGGTATCAATGAGAGTCTTGGCAGAGCCAGAGATTTGGCGATGCGAGCGGAGGCAGTGGACCTGATCGGGAGGGACAAGCTCATGGTTGTGCTCTCTCACGAAACCGGAGACAACCCACTGCCCTGAATCCTGCATTTTGACGGAGAGTGAGGCTTTGCAGCCAACCCTGGTGATCATGCGGGGGCGCTTGATTTCTCTGTCTTTGGTCCGCTTCTCGTTGTGATTCCTGAAACCCTCTTTGGCGCAAACAAACTGCCTCTGTATAATGGCTCCATCGCGCCTGGAACGACGGGAGGAGCTGACCCGGGTACTGAACCCGACCCGCCTGGCGTACGAGTTGTAGAAGGCCTTGGAGGCTTCCTCGGACTCGAATTCCATGCCCTCGTACGGCTCGAGGTCGAGAAGGTCCCCGTCAGGAAGATAAATCTCGGAACCGGAGGCCGCAGCGGCGGCGGAGCTATCGGCGCCCATGTCATCGTCGTCGTCGAGAGGATTGTCGATGTCAATGGGATCATCATCGTCTCCGTCGCTTCTGCCATTCACACTTCCTAAACCTATATCGAATTCCAGCACCTCATTTTCCATGCCACGCAGAGCGGATTCGACCACAGTTTCTGTTCAAGGAGGGAGTGGAGTGGTTGTGTAATTTTCAGGGGGTTTTTTTTTTCCGCCTTTTCTATTTTAGGGTTTCCTGCACAGAGAAAACCCTAGCGAGGACAGGCAAGAGGGGGGCAATACTGGAAGCTTAATTCCGTGGACTTCGCGTCGAAGCTTTACAGAAGAAGAAGAAGAAGAAGAAGAAGAAGAAATCCTTGGGAGACTGAGAGAGTGAGGAAAAGAAGGTGGACGGAGTTGGAAAGATGGGAGGGAGAGCGAGGGAGTAAAGAGGTGTGTTCTTCTGTTCTGATTGCTATCACAAGTTCAGTGTTCTTCGGTTAGAGGCGGAGCCAGAGAATTGGTCTTTTTGGCAACCGGACTGGCTCGGCCCGGCTCGGTTTGGGTATGACCCAGGACTTGATTGATGGATTTAGGCCTCACAAGAAGAGCAAGGAATATATCATGGATCAGGCTGCAACAAGTTAAAGAGTGCCAACTGAGATTTAACAAGGGCAGTTTAGGAAACAAATATTGTTATTGCTAGCTTTGTACCGGTTTGGGGTGGCAACGGGACAAATTGGGTAACTGTCTCGTTTGAAATGTGTACCCAATACCGTTTCAACAGAAAACATCACCCCTCATCCTAAATTCGTACGGGTTAATGGGTAGTGGGTACCCGTTACCTATATGAGACGGATAACTAGGTAGTCGTGGATAGCTCATTTGAAATCCCACATTTTTTTTTTCTCTATCTTCTTCCAAACTTGTCTTTACTTCTTCCCTAAACTCGTCTTCATCTCCAGCCCTCTCTTCCCCAACAGTATATCCTACCTTCGACCACCATTACTTTCTCCCGACAACTTCTATCTCCTGGAGAAAATCTAAGTCGCCTCCCTCTAACGTCAATCTCTGGCCAAAAGGTCAGAACCCAAGTCTCCTTCGTTGGGACTTAAAGATGGGACTAGATACTATAACAACACTCCTTGTGTTGTTATTGTAACAACACTAGTCTCCAACCAATAGGAAGCTAGGGTTGTGATGACTTTTTATTAGATGAGTTGACCTAGTGTAAAATCAAAGCAAGGGTATAATTGTCATTATGAAAATATGTTTAAATAATAAAAAAAATAAAAAAAATAAAAAAATAAAAAAATATTTTTTTATTTTTTCGGCCCGAAATTTTGGTCGCCGGAATTCTGTCACTGGTCGCCGGAAAATGGTCGCCGGTCACCGGAATATGCTTTTCGTCGCCGGAATATGCTATTTTGTCATCGGAATATGCCACTGTCGCCGGAATATGCTCACCGTGGTCGGAATATGCTTACCGGCGTCGGAATCTAGTCATCGGGGCCGGAATATGCCTATCGGCGCCGGAATCTGGTAACTGACGGTCATCGGAGTTTGGTCAACGATTTTCGTTGACCGGTCAACGGCCAACGACCACCGAATATAATGGTCTGCATTGTGAGATTTATGGTTTGGTTTCTCATATTTTTGTATGCCTTTTGTGGTTTGCTTTATCGTGTTTTTGGTTTGCATTAAGAAGTTTCTGGTTTGCTTTATCGTGTTTGTGGTTTGCATTGTTAAGTTTCTGGTTTGTTTTCAAAAAATTTGTGGTTTGCATTGAGGATTTTCTGGTTTGTTTTAATATATTTGTGGTTTGCATTAGGACGTATTTGGTTTGTTTTATTGTGTTTCTGGTTTGCTTTATCGTGTTTCTGGTTTGCTTTATCGTGTTTCTCGTTTGCATTAAGAAGTTTTTGGTGTGCTTTCGAAACTTTTGTGGTTTGCTTTGTGAGGTTTCTGGTTTGCTTTAATATATTTGTGGTCTGCATTACAACGTTTTTGGTTTGTTTTACCGTGTTTGTGTTTTGCTTTACCGTGTTTGTGGTTTGCATTAGGGGGTTTCTGGTGTGCTTTTCAAAATATTTATGGTTTGTTTTGTGGGGTTTCTGATATGTTTTAGCGAATTTGTGGTTTGCATTAGGAGGTTTACGGTATGTTTTTTATGGGTTGTTTTATTGCGTTTGTGATTTGCACTAGGGAATTTTTGGTGTTAGAAATATTTGCTTTCCTACTGCTAGCCCCTTTGCTTATGTACTCGAAAGGTAAAGACTATCAAAGCTGCAGCAGCCATTACAGGATTGTTCCAAGTCAGGCTCTCCAGGACTGTTCCAAGTCAACTGGTTAATTTTCCAGGGAGGGATTTCATCCGAGAGGGAGATTGATTCAATATTATTCAACAAGAATCCTGCAATTGTTACCGTAGTTAGCAAAATCCAATACTAGCTAGACAGGGGGAATCATAATGGTTTTAATTTACTAATAACTAGTTTTTTTTTTTTTTGAATAAACTAATAACTAGTTATTGTAACCAGATGCCTCTGTGTGCTCACTCTCTTCTGTCAAAATTCTCCATCTCCACCCCAGAAATTCCCATACATACATACCTGCAGTGAGGGCATATATATTAACATATGGCGATGAACTTGAACCACCCTTTACCAACTTGCGATGATGATCTCCAACACGGCTGTCGAGTGAAACGCAGCCAGATCTGAAATCATTGCTAGGGTTTTCGACACTACTGTGAAGAAAGGAAGGAAGGAAAGAAACGGCCAGTGGAGGAAAAAGGAAGGCTCCAAACCAAAAGAGAATTGGGCCGTTTGTGGGAATCGCTATTCTCGGCACGTTAATTGCCGCTCTTTTCTTCAATTCCCCGCTGCAACTCAATCTCGGTTCCACTTTCTCCTCCTTCAACTTCAATTCGCTTCTGCAGCGACACCAGGTAGCTTCCCGCCACCATCGCCATTTTTTCTTCTTCATTTCCTCCCGTTCCTCAACTTCCGTTTCTGTTTGACTTGGCGGTTTAATTTTGCTGTTGCCAATTCGCCAGAGACTCTTCAGTGCAGAGGCGCTTGCTCTGTACAACGGGACCGACGAATCATTGCTTCTCTTTCGCCTTCAAAGACTGGCGACGCCGGTGAGGAAAATAACGCCGCCGTCGTGTAGCGCCAGGCCTTCCACGTTCAGCGTCGCCGTCGCGATCCACGGGCGATGCGCTTGTTGTTCCTGCGAGCGACGTGGAGTGGTCAGAAGGTTCAGATTGGGCGGCGCGGCGTCGGGGGAGTATGGGAGGAGGAGCGATATACACGAGGAAGGAAATCAGCTGAATATTAATTTTTTTATTTGTTAGATATTATGTTAATGGACCCTTTTACCCTTGTTGTTACTATAACAACACCAAGGGTGTTGTTATACTATCCGGTCCCCTTAAAGATCTAGGTGGTGGCCTCCTTCGTCGCGACTCTGCATATCGTCCAAATCGAGGACCCAAAATACAATGACGGTAGAAATGACAAAAACGGAGGCGGCGTGGAGGAAGGAAGCGTGACGAAGCTGAGATCGATGTTCAGCAAACGCGGGTGACAATCATCTATGGATCGACGACTCTAGTAGAGCATAGAAGAAGCCAGGTCAAATCATAAATCAATAATCTTGGTTAAAGCAAAATTGATTCATAAAACATACATAGATTGGATGTAATATCCCGAACCTTTTCCTGACCAAGATATTGTCAGCTTTGGGTCTCGATCCTCACGGTTTTTGCTTGGGGTGCAATTCAAGGTGACTTCCCATAAGGTCACTCATCCTTATTGTACTCCACACTGAGCACGTTTAACTTTAGAGTTCTCACAAGAACTTCATTTCACCCCAGAACGGGTCTTGTCAATTAGGCGATGTGGGATTTGACTAAGGTGTAACATTGGATATGAACGCAAGTTTAACAAGTAAGAGTGACAATACAATCATTGAATCAAACAAACATAACAAGGATTCCTCAAACCCAAGCGAAAATGAAGTTTACTCCATAGTGAGGAAAGAAAATACATAAATCTGCCGTTAATCTTCAACCTTCACTTCCAACCTTGATTATTGAGCTCTAATGGTGAATATATCCAATTTCGCTCCAAGATCGCCAATTCATCGCTCTCTCTATTTAGGGTTTGTCCCTTGGGTGTTTGGTATCCTAAAATCCAACCCCCCCCCCCCCTCAGAATTCAAAAATAAAAAAACAATTTATACCGTAATAGAGGCAAAGTCACGACCGTGACTTTGCTACTCCAGGCTGTGACTTTCATAAGTGCTTCTATCATCATGTCTGAAACTCACGGTTTGGGTGTATGATTAAGTGTGTATCAATAGGTTTAATTTAGACCCAAACTTAAAAGTTTGGATATGATTAGGTATGGTTATACCCAAAATAATATTACTCAAATTTGATTTAACCAATAATAAATTGAGGTTGAGAAATACCCAAATTTTGTATCTTCTTTGCTATCCTATGAGTAAGAGATAGATGGAGGAGACGATGGTCAAATGTAAATTTCAAATTTTCAGAGTGGCAAATAGCACATCTCATTATTTATCCCCACAACAAAAGACAAGGAGGGGCCAGCACGAGCTGACGATTCAAACATGTTTACAGGGCGTGAACAGAGACATCAAGAAGCAAAGTGAAACCAATTAATTTAGAAATCAACAGTGTCGGTGGCAAAAAACAAATTGACACTGAAAGGTTACCTGAAGAAGAAGAAGAAGAGAGGCATTCTAAGGATGAACCACTAAAAAAACAAGACTTTCCAAATCTAGCAGAAACTGATGTAACATGATTCCCAGTTCCAGGAATGCTAAGCTTCCTTCCCGGGGATGAAAAATAAATATGCCAAGTTTACACAAGTCTGGAAGAGATGGTACGGAAGCCACGACCATCTATTTAGGAGCAAAGATCTTTCTCTCTATGAGATTAACCGCTTAAGACCAGTTTTCTGCTCTGCTGTCAGCTTGCTGGGGAACTTGATATTGAACTTGATTTTCAATGCCCCACGCCTGGAAGGCTCTTTTGGGATGGGCATCCCTTCACCTTTAACAAACTCTTCATAGGTTGGGCTTATGATGGCATTGATGGGGACAGTGAGAGCCCTTCCATCGAGGGTCGTCACCTGTGCCGTGTAACCGGTGAGTGCTTCCACTAGAGAGATCTTCTGAGTGATTACTAGGTCATTGCCATCTCTCTTGTATACTGGGTGAGGCTTCTCGTCGATGATGAACACCAGGTCGGATGGTATCACCCCGCGTTGCTCGTTGCCTTTCTCTGGAAATGTGATTTTGGTTCCTTTCTTCCAACCTGGCTTGATCTCTATTGTAAGAATTTCCTCTAGCGTCGATGGTCTCCTGTGTCATAGGCCATTTTGAAAGAAACAATTTTAGCATCTGCACTATTTTACATATCAGAAATGCTACAAACAAGATATATTGTGCATTTCAATGTTGAAGGCAAACCAAGAGACAAGGAAACAACTAAAAACAAAGGGAAAAACAAGTAGGTTAGCAATTACCAATAGAGACATTAAGGAATTGCACAAATCATACTCCCCCAGATGTAAAAGAAAATCTTCTGAGGTTTGTTTCTTAGTTGAGTTTCAAGAATAAGCAAGTACTGCCACTACACAAATATCAGCACTAGTAGTTCAAGAAATTTTGTTACTTATGTTACAAGATGATTGACTGTAAGAAGCTGCATGACCAAAATAGTTGCAGAGTTTGAGCTAACTAAGAACTTAACTTCAGGCTGGCTTACACTATGGTATGACGAGGATGAAACCGCTGTGTTCTCATAGGTGGTCATCACGACCATCATTAGTTATTCAAAGTTCAGAGATTTGTTGCCTTACGAGAAAAGAAAATTGTAATGTCTATTCAACAATACAGCGCAATATGACACGTGGAACCAATGTAACGTCTGCCTGCAAGCTCCATGGTGACATTCAACAAGAATACACTCGGCAGTTCAACTCACATAAAAAAAGTTTGTTGCTTTACTGAGTCCATTGCATTTCAAGCCATCATGCATAACTAAAATCCCTTTGCATTACATTCCTGTGACCAATAGCAGGAGCAAACCACAACAATAACAGCACTGCAAAAGGCAGGATCTTCAACTTTCCAAGCCCTAAGAAGAGCAGGACCTTTCATTTTTTAAGGTGAAGCTTCAGAACTTCTAATGTCGACTGCAGATGGAACAGTATAGTAGATAGACACTTCACTAACCCTTTGAGAACAGAATTTTACCATACCCAACCGAAAGAAAGAAAAAGACCAACGCATTTAACTGGATGATGATGAATTCAACATTTCAGTATGAATGCAAATGGACATTAAAATGGGCTAAGGATTCACCAACTAATCGAAGCAATACAGCTGGGGAGGTGTAGAAGGAAGGTCTTACCCATTGTGATCAATAATGTCCCTCGAAATCTTCATCTTTTTGGTGGTGCCCTTATACAATTCCTCCAAACTACACGGCAATGTCCGCTCTATAGCAGCCCCTTTCCGTGGAATACCAGACGTCTCCCCGGCGGCAGTCCTGAAGGAGGAGAAGATATCATCCCCAAACATACCCCTGGGAAACCCTGAAGGTCCAGCTCTTGAGCTACCTCCCATGTCCCCCATCCCATTGAAGGGACTCGAGAACCCGAAAAACTCAGAGAATATATCATCTGCGCTTCGCGGATTGAACCGAAAAGCACCCGAACCAGCATCCTGTCCAAACCCGCCATGCGGCGCCGCTCCTGGCGGAGGTACCTGCCCCTTCAGACCTTCCTCTCCGTACTGATCGTAAATTGCCCTCTTTTGTGGATCACTTAGAACCTGTGCAAAAAAAAAAAATTGGCAATTGCCAAATTGAATCACAGATGAATCAAAATGGATCTTGAGAGAAGGAAGAGAGTGGTGGATGTGATTTTGGATTGTTTACATCGTATGCTTCGGAGATTTGCTTGAATTTAGCTTCGGCTTCCTTCTTGCTATTAGGGTTCTTATCAGGGTGCCATTTCATCGCCAACTTACGATACGCTTTCTTCAAATCATCTTCCTTGGCTCCGCGGTCAACCTGTAGAACCTTGTAGTAATCCACTCCCATCCTCGTTTTCCTCTTCCGCCCACCGCCCACCTCCGCCGCCGTGGTGGTTCCTCTCTTTCCTCCTCCTCCTTCCGCTGTCGTCTCGGCGTCTTTCTCTTCCGCTTCTTCCTCCTCTGTCAGATGAAGCCCACAGAAAACTCCGGCGACACCAGAAACACTTTTTATAAATTAGTAATTAATTAAAATGGTGACAAATGGGTCGGACTATTTTGGCATGGGCATTTTCTGGGCGCACCCACGGACTGCTTTGGGCAATGGGCAATGGCCCAATCGAATTGTTTCACGAGAGATATTGACGTTTGCGTAGCTCGGTCCAGCCCAACCTGTTTTCCCCGACTCCGATAACGGTAGACGAGGTGTCAAAATACAATCCGATTCTAATAACAAGCTCCACAACCCGAACGCAATTCGAACTGACTAAACATCAACGACTTATAACATGATCAACCCGCAATCCCATTGACCTGCAACCCGATGAACCAGTGACCCGACTAACCCGTAATCCAGATAACTCAACCCCAAGCTGCCCAAACCCGGAAGTTGAAATGAAAATGGCATACATATGATCGTTCAAATAAGAGGAGTTCAATGGGGATTAACTAAAAGTTGATATTTGAGATACTAGTTCACTAATATGAAAATTTTGTTTTAAAACGGCTAAATTACACGATTGGTCACCCAAATTATACAAATCTTTCGCGTTTACCACTCGAATTACTTTTCTTTCTTATTCGCCACTACCTTTACGAATCATTTCACCGTTAGCACCAGCCTATTTGTGATTTTTTTCTTGATTTGGATGTATATATTGAATTAAAAAAAAAAGTGTTGTAGTATTTTGGCTAAAAATTTGATAGTATATCTAATAATGTTTTGATGACGTGGCATTGTGACATGGCAAAATTGGATGGAAAATGGATGCATACCAACGGAATAACAAACATATGTAACCATTTCGTTGATAGTAGCCAAAAAAAAAAAATATGGATACAACAGAGCTGCTAGTAGTCACCACTGTGCTCTCTCTTGCTTGCAATATCTAAATTCTTCTAACTGTAAAACCCTGGCCATGAACGATATGGCCAGAGAGACTACATGGCGGTGTATGATACATGTACAGAGTGCTCCAGACTTCCAAGAGGCTTCTTCTCTTCCTGCTGATAATACAGCTGAACACTGGCGGCAGTGGGTTTAGTCTTCCCACTCTGGATCCGTTTTGAAGTACTGACATGCATACAGAGATTGAACCTCGGTCATTGGACCAGATGCTGCCCCCCGCCGAAATGCAGAAAAAGCTCGAACTGGACCACCACCCGGCTAATAAGCAGCAAGAGTTCTCTGAATCAGAAGACTTTTAAATCAAGAGGCATCAGCTGGCACTAGAAGACTCGTTTGGTTTCTCCTCCATTTGCACATCCTTCTCTGAGTTGCTCGTCTCTGTAGTTTGATCCTGTGTTGGCTGTGATTGAGTCGAGTTCTGCGGGGGATCTGAAGCTATTCCTAGAACAACCAAGATAGACCTGCACCACAAGAAAAATATACAGGACATCAGAATCGCCATGGGAACCGAATAACAGATATTAGCTCGGTGGCTTGTTTCCCGTTGGCAGTTGAGGAATATCAATTTCTCACTGGTCAACTGTTTTAGTTAACCGCCTAATCAACCTTATCTCCGGATCTCTGAGATACATTCATTCTGTTAAAAGAAAAATCCACTTCTTAGCAGGTGTTGATAGATGAACCTTGGTAGTGTGGACTTGATATTTGGTTGGCTAGCATGAGCAACTAGTGGAGCTCTCAGTGCCGCGGTTCTGTTCAATGCATTTTCCAGCTGCGGTGGGGGTAACTGAGACAGAAAAGTCAAATTACAATCAGCTTCAGTAAGATTTGAGAACTGCCAAATGAATCAAGAAGAAGCTACAAGAGTCGAATGTTTATTATAAGTTTAAGAAAGTAGCACTAACTCACCTGAAGCAACACGCTGAAAGATTGAGGCTTTGTCAGGAGTGCGCACTTCAAGAACCCCACCCAGAGCTTTGGGTATTTCCATATCTGCAACATCCAGGGCGAAATCCACCATGAAAATACCTCAACCACAGATAACATGCGATCAGCTTCATCATGAAAAAATAAAATATAGCTACCTGCTTGTTGACTAAACGGGAAAGGATCTCCATGATGAACTCCACCTGGAAATTTTCACCGCACAACATCTCTTACTTGACAAAACATATTCCAGGAAATAAAATACTTGCACGAATAAACAATTCATAAAGTATTGTTGAATCCATCGGGGGGAGAAAAAAATAACATTACCCTTGAAATAACCACCAAAATAAGACATGTAACTGAAATAACCAGCTATCTTCTTACCAAGGCAGGAAAAGCTCCTATGGCTTGTATTACTGTCCGCATAAATAACAAAGGAAGAGGAATCTGCTCAACCTGAAGTGGACAAAATTCATGGCTAGATCAGCGTGGTACAGAATAAAGACATTTGGAATGTAAAGTTAAAAGACTCGGATGGTACAAACCAGCTGATTCAAGACTTTCGCAATAACTGGCTGGGTGAATATTTGCCGTTGCTCAAAGCAAGCATTACAAGCATCTGTGACCTGCATATTATAATATATGGAAGAGTTTCACATTTGTCTGGATCACAAGGTTCAACCAATGGTGAAAGAAAGGAGAAAGAAATGCCTTCTTCAAGGGAATTCCATCCTTTTCAGGATCAATCCCATGGATAGCTATTAGAACTTCAGATGGACTCAGTAGAGGACTAGAATTAGGTGGTCCCTGCATCAAATGGAAGTACATTATGATCACTAATACTACTACTACTACTATTATTATTCTTGTCGTAGAAGTTAGTATATGATTTGCTAGAGCAGTTCTTAACAGAAAAGGAAACAGAACTTTACTGTCAGAAAATAAAACCTTAGCCATCATCAGCTTGTTGGTATATTAATTTGCAAAAGCAGCTAAGGAAGACAATATATTAAGTAGCCAAAGGAAGTGAAGAGTTTTCCTTCAGAAGGGTTTGAGATAATGAAATGGTTGTCATATATTGGGCATGTACTATTCAGTATCGGCCAAAACAAGATACCTGTATTATACGAAGAAGCACAGTTTGGAACTTGTCTATATTTAGATTCACAAGCTGCGGAAAAGTTGATAGGATCTGAAAGATAAACAACATAAATATAGCAGCAGGTCAGAAGCATGCCTAAGCCCCGGATCACAGTAACGCTAAAACATGCCCTGTACCGACCCATTGAGGTACCATCATTAGACAAGACACTGCAGAAGTACACAGATTCTATTCTTTCTAAAGTATAGTGAAATAATGCAGCAAAGAAAAATAACCTTTCTTCCACAAGCAAAGCGGGAAAAAAGAAAATGTGTAAAGAGGATGTAATACATCCTAGAATCTATACTACTTGGGGTTAATGGGAAGGTTGCATGATGGTAAAATGTGCAAAGAGTTACATGCAAATACAGAAGAACATGCTCTTTGGTGTTGCTTCTTGCTTCGTACTTCCAATGGTTACTAGTGGTCCGGGGGATCAAATATAAAGATCTTCATCAAGGACCAAGTATGACAAAAGATATGCAGTAAAATTTGGAGTTGTGACAGAAACAAACCTGATCGCTTTGAAGGTATGGCAATACTGGAATTAAAATATCAACATCCTGCAAAAAGTTAAACACATTACCTTATAATATCACCATTCACCAATTTTATCTTTCAGGATATCATACTACCATACCTTAAGCTTAGAATTATATAATCGTTGTATGGTGAGTAGCAACTCCGGAGAAGGAGCAGCCCCTTCAGTCAATGTCTGCAAAACCTGAGCAACAATTGGGAAACATTTCAGGTACACTTATCTTCAGCACTTTCATCTGGAAGGCCAGAAAATATTCAAAAAAATCATCAAACCTGTGTGAGAAGCTTCTCACTTCCTTCAGGTGGATCTGAAATAATTCCAAGGAGCTCAGAGGAAGAGCCCATGGTCCGGACAAGTATAGGGATATGCTTATGAACCGCCTGCATCATTTAGAACAATAAGAAGAACTCCTAGCAAGGCTTCTACCTAAGTTTCAATACCAGCAACCAACCTGGGTAACTGCCTCTGATGCATTCTTGTACACGTAAAAGATTTGGCGGAAAAGGGAGTGTTTCTGCCAGTCAGCAAAAAACAAGAGTAACACTGGTTGAGAGACCAGTAAAAAACATCTTTACAAGATGACAAATCCAATAATGTCTGATGCTAAAAGAGACTGCAGATAGAGCAAACATTTTTTTCCATTACTAATTATCACCTTTGTGCACAAGGCAAAAAGCAATGACATGCGTCGCTGGGCCTCCAAGACGTCATCTTCAGCACCTTCCACCGACAACATGGTTTCCTTGGCAAAATCTTCAATTTGTTGGGAAACCGATGGCAGCGGATAAAGCCTGTTAGCCACCTGTGAGAATAACGTCCCTAACAAAATTAAACAGCGTGTATAGAGCAGCTTTAATTCACTTCCTAAGCACATTATTGTAACATACCAGACGAATTGCCTTCATCCGTACTTCCTCCAAGGGATGAACTGCACTCTTTAGCAGATGAAGATAGAAACCAAAGAAAACAGGTCAATCAACAGATTACACAACAGACAGAATCACCTAGCCAAGACATGACAAATTTCAGAATGACAAGATAAGAAGGGAAATTATGAAGATAACTCAATCAAACGTAAGCAATATTTCATCAAAAAGGGTGGAGTACCAGAAAAACCAAGCACATAACTAGAGCAGACCTGCAAAGCGATCTTCAAGCAGGATTCTCTAAGAGGAGGCCTAGACATAATCAAGTTCCACACAGTACTGAGCCCTTGAGTGACTCGATCTCCATGTTGAAGCTCTTTGTCAGCTATTTCAGAGTTTCCGGGACAACATAAGGACTCCAACAAGTTCAAGACAGACTGAGGTAGAGAAGGAGCTTCAAGAAGCAATCTACTCAAAGATTTGTCTGAAGGTGGAAAAGAATCTCTCAATGTCTCAGCCTGCATATCAAAGATGGGTTTATTAAATTATCTAAGGTAGCATAAGAAGAAGTGCTAAGGAGAGAAGAGTACAGACCACAGTCTGAAAGAAGATCTCATATACAGAAGCAGCAGTTGTAGAAGAAAAGAAGTCGCGTTCCTCTTCTATCTCTCTGAATAGCCTGTAAAGGA